TGCGCGGCGGATCGTGCATTGCGAGAATAGCGAACGTCTTGGTGTTCGCGATGGACAACCAGGACAACCGCCTGGCGATACCTGTTGCACGTTTCGATACGAACTGCCTTGCCTCATCCGTTTACCAGCATTCCTCCTAACTGTTCCACCGCGTCGACGAGAACGAGACGAAGGATGCACTGCACTGCTGCGTTCGTGTCCGTTGTTGACGTTTCCTCGTAGATGCGCATGTGATGCGCCGTCGTTGACAGTGCATGTGTGTGTGCGTGCGCGTGTGTATGTATGATGTGTGTGTATGTGTGTGATACGTATATATATATATATACGTATGTATATCATCACACGTTTACATTACGTTTCTCGTTGCGCCGTGCTGCATCGAGTAATCAAGAGTAATCTAGTAATATAGTAGTGGAGTGAGTCGACATATCTTGGAAGATTTCCGTCCGTACGTCCGTAATATAATAATATTCACCGGCGCAAACAAGCGCGCTCGCGCGCGCGCGCGAACGCTACAGGGGAAATATGGGTTTCGTGCAGAGTCGCAGCGGGGAGGGCGATGGTGGTGTACGTGAGGTTTTCGTCGGCGGTGTGAAGGCTGGCATGCCTCATCACTCGTGTCAACTCAACATGGGCATGGGCAGCTTGAGCGGACCTCACACGCGTACGGGTAGCATGCGTAGCGCGCCTAGACAGCCGATGCCGGACGCCTTCGAGCTCGAGAGGCGCTTCACCAAAGTGCTCGTGAGTATACTGAGTGCAACACCCTCTTTCTTATTCATAATTTCATGCGCGGCAATCCTAGCAGACGATACCTTATCTGTAATTATTTTTTATGTATAGTACTTTTTCACCATTTTTCGTCTTGCCTACTTTTTTCTTTTTCTTTATTTTTTTTTTCTATTTTTCCCCAATATTTTGTATTACATATTTTTTTCTTGTTTATACAGAAATCGGACGATTGAAAGTTATTTTTTTGTATGTATACGTACGTGGAATATGTTAGGTCCAGTTAGATAAAAGAAAAATTCAATCAAAAAGATCATATTAATTGTACAAACTTCGTTTTGAAATTTGAATGAATATTCACGAGCACGAAAGTTGAACAGTTTTCATGAAAAATATTTTCATGAAAGTTTAATATTTAATGCCAGTATGAAATGCCACGAATTATTTTGCATGTATGCATTTTATCATTATTTTTCTTATAGTTTCACCGATTTTACGATGGTACACAAAAATATTTAATATAATGCTTATTTAACAAAAGTAAAATAATTCCTCAACAATAAAATTAATGTTTACTTAAACATAAATGTTGTGCTTAATTAACTTATGTCCATTTCTATCAACGATTTATTTTATAATCTTGATTTAATTTTGTTTTTTTTTTTAATTTGTAGGGCTAGAAAAAGATAAAAAGTAATTTAAATCACACACACACACACACACACACACACACACACACACACACACACACACACACACACACAAAAGATTAAAGTTACGTTGACAAAAATGGATATTAATCATTTAAACTTTAATGTTTACCATAATTTATACATTTCTATAACTATTTTCCATTCAGTATTATATTGCTGAAAATTTATTAAGATTTATATCACGTCTCTCTCTAACCTGTGTTAGTAACGTTACTTTTATTAATGAATAAAAATAATCACATACGTAATGCTCACTATCTACTTGATCATCGAACGTCTTGACATTCGAATATTCACGATGACTAGTTATAATATTATGTACATCCGGCACGCGTATCCTGAATGTATGATGAATCTTTCATGATTTATGATATCATTTTATTAAAATTTAAAACGTTAGAATTTGATAAAAAATATTACAAAGATAAAAATATATGCCAAGCACATAAAAAATATTTAAAAATAACATTCAATAAGAAATTAACTACTGGAAAGTAGATGAAATCTTTTAATTAGCCGAGACAAATCTAAATCTTAAAAAAAACATTCGAAGACGTATATTTAATTTAATTCATAGGATTCTATTTTTCTGTGATTATTGTGATAAAATGATATGTTTTCATCATTGTAATCGACGGAACTCTTTCTAAAACAGATTGAGAACTCTCTGGAGTTCTCAAGATCAGAACTCTGTTTATTTTTTATGCACATTTTAAAAAAGTGGAGCCAACTTCACAGAGGCGAGCACATCATTATCACATGCGATGACAGAGTTCTCATGTAAAATCAACGCCGTTAATGTCGACCGGCTAGAACTTCCTTTTCGTGAAAGAGAACAAAGAAAAGTTTGAAGAGCAAGTGTACGCGCCGCGAAATGGCCCGTAGCCAAATGGTGTGCACGTGCGAATAGAGTTATTCCTGGGCATTAAATAAAAAAGCCTACCAGTCGAGGGACACTGGTCGCTGCTAATGGTGCTTAAAACGTTATTACTTGGCCGTGAAAATTTTTGGACAGTACAGCTAATTTGGCACGTTTATGTATATTTGAAGGAATCACATTAATAACACATATTTTGACCATTTATTCAATGAGAATGTAAATTTTATTTGTTTTGTTTATTTTTTTTTTATTTGCGTGTAAAAATAAATTTTTTTAAAAAAGAAATTTAAATTGATGTGCACTATTTTTATATTTAAAAAATTGTTTATTTTATAAGTAATAATTTTTTGAGGTTACACATTGTATAAAATTATTTCCATATTTATATATATTATAGTAAAAATCAAATTTGTTAATTAATTATGAAGGTAAAATTATTGTATAACTGTGTAACCATAGTTTAAATTACAGTATTTAGCACTAATTTTGTCAATGCCTAAAATATTAATAAAGTAACTTTGCACATAAAGAGTAATCTTTTTATTTTATAAATAGTCTTTAACGTGTCGAAAATGAGTCTTTTTTTTTACTAATATAATTCATTAGATTATATTATATTATAGAAATAATATATAAATACATGAATTAAATACAAAATATTAAAGGTTTTAACGCTAAATTAATCGTTTCATTGATATAATTGTGTGATTTATATTATATCACAATATAAGTCTTAGAATGATTTGTTTTATTTAGATGCAAAGACCAGCGATCAAAGTCATCTCGAATGCAATTTGTAGTTTTAGCAATTTGTAGTATTTTAATAGGTCTTGAATGAGAAAGCGCTAATTCTCTCTTTAATTTTAATAAACGGTGCTCTTTATTACAGTCAGTAAAGATGCGTCAATAATAATTACATATATTATACATATTGCATATTGGCTGTATTTCTAGAGCTGACCCCCCTTCTCTCTCTTCTCGTTTGATGTTAAATCGTAAGAGATGATCGATAATCTCCGATTATTGTATGCTAAGGCAAGTTGAAAAGAAAAGAGAATATTTTATTCGAACTGCATCGCACATGACGATGCGAGTCGACATGTTGTCGGCGACGAGCGTTGCAATATTTTTTGTGCAAAAAAGAATTCGAGCATGGAATTACGAGCATGGGCTTTCCGTCCGGTCCGCATATGTAGAGCTGCGTTACACACTGTCTGCATATTAGAGCGTTATAAGAAACCCCAGTGTAATCGCAATGTGCATCATAATCGCAGAAAGAGACAGTCGTTGTTAAATGAACCTCAGTCGCTCGCTGTTTTTCGTTGCGACTATAAAGAACAATTGTTCTTTGAACTTGATGCACGGAAAGACGTAGAAACGCATTATTTTTTTTATCTCTTTCTCATAAGATATTATTATTATATTTTTTAATAAAAAAAAAATGGCTTTTTTTTGTGTGTTTGTTTATAGCTACTAAAATTTTACATGGTATTACAACTATACAGCTTTTAATAATAAAGCTTATCGCGATATAAGAATATGATTGGAACAAGGATCGAAAATATCAATATAAGATTTTTCGTACATCGCGCCTTATCGATCGAGTGTTAAGATGTTGAACTACTCTCTAATATAC